AGAGAGAGCGCACATTGAAATGTTTATCTAATAGCATTACAGAGGCGAAAGGATTTCAGCCCAATTTACCGACAAACAAAATTTAAAATCATCATTCCGGTTGCTCAGCGCTTTTTTTCGCTCTCCCTCTTTCATAAACTCTCTGTCTCTATCTCACTTTGGCTTCCATTGTGCCAGCGAACGCATTTTGCGAACGCTTCGAAACTTTCATTGGACACTTGTAGCGAAAAGGGAGAGAGAGAGAGAGACATTAAGCTATAAATCTATCGCGTATCGTGGCCCCATAAAAACCAGCTCGGACGCACACATATGTCGTTGTCATAGTCAACAATTCGTACTATCGATTCAGTCTCGCCCATTTCTCGCCAGCACACAATTATGGGGTCGCTATGCATATCTGCAAGAAAATATTATTGTTATTTATAATTTGTTATGTTGTGTGTGTGAGTGTGCGTGTGCGCGCGATGAAGAGAAAGGGAGAGATATGTAGATTTATGTGCTTATTGCCGAATGTCACAAATATTCAAATGCCTGACTTTTGACCTTATCTCGCTTGAGCTGCTGCACATTTCTCATCCGTGCCATCTCCAATCCGAAGATAGATGAAATATTCAGTAAAAATCGCCATAAAAATATTGTACACATCTCATTTTGATTTAAGATCGAATGATGTTATACCGCACACATGAACTTGTTGATTCGTTTTCTTTTCTTCTCGTTTCTACTTGTGGTAATGCAATTTCAGGTTGGAAGGGGAGAGGCGAACAATTACCCTGAAGCTATCATCTTTTGTGTTGCGTCTCATCACTGGTTCGTTTGTCATTAACTTATCAGAATGTCAAATACGCAGCACAACGAAACCAACACATTGTCATTCGAATTCGCATATTTCACTTTGATCTTCGTTCTAGCGATGATTTGTTCCGATGTTGCCCGAAACAACAACAACCATATAGAAAAAATAACATGCAAAAAATTCTTGTGCTTATTTGAATTTTAGTTATTCGACGAATTTGTCTGCAACCACCGAACTGGCAACAGATTTTAATAATAGAAAAGTCAAGTTCGTTGATCAGTGGGGATGACGTACACACACACACACAAAAGCCGAAACATATGCAAATAGTACAAGCTGATGCCAGAGACAATGACACTGACTGGTTTATGATGCTTTGGCATTTTTCATTGTCATTCAGCATTTTGATTCGGTTTTAGTCATTTTGCCATTTTTCCTTCGCCCACACTCTCCTCCTCCTCCGTCCTCTAGACTTAGATTTCGGTTGTCGGCTAATATTCAGAGAATGTAAAAAAGGTCATTTTCCATGTTATCTTTATTTGTTCCCTTTTGTGTGCTTACTTACTCTCTCTCTCTCTCCCTCTCTCGACCATGTTCTCGCATTCGACGAAATGAATGCCGAATGCTTCAGCTTCCAAAATTATTGTAATATAGTCGCCCAGTTGTGTACAATATCGCATCGGACAGAATATGTATGTGTGTGTGTGTGCGTTTGGTTGTTTGTAGCCTGTAACAGGCATTAAATGTCGCTGGCATTGTGGATTTATTGTGCAATGTCTGAGCAATTTGTTTGCGAGTGCAGGCGGTTGGTTTCTTTGTCATATTGCGTGCATATATGTGTGCTTGTGTGTGTGTGTGTGTTAACAAACAAATCGCTTTGGCCGACAATTCAGTAATGTTCATAAATTTTCATAAAAGTTTGAATGCGATTATAAATAGGACCTGGGTCGCAAATGAACATTACCATTTTGTTGGAAATGGCATATATATCTAAAATAGTAGGTGCATATTCAAAAAATATGTTCGAAAATATAAAGCTTTAAATGACTTAAAATTTCAAAATCATTTCTCTCTGTGCTATTTTCCCGTATAATGAGAGCGAGATGAGGACACAAAAAGAGTAAATTGAACAACGAATTGTGCGCTTTTTTTTCTAGTTCTTCTGTCAAAATGTAACAAGCAAAACATAACAAGACAGCAACAGTGCCGCCTGATCCATCCTGACAGTCCATTTATCGAGTTGGCCACAAACAAAAACATATACACACTGAAATATTTTGATGGCAAACGCCAAATGACCTGTTTTCAAAGGATAAATACGTCTGTCTTCATTATTCCGTAATTATTTGGCCCCCGACACATGCACACACACGCATGCCACTTTGTAGCTCCCACATCGACCAAACCGCTCGAAATCGAGGTAGAGATGGAAAAATGTTCATTTGAGGCTTTTATTAAACGCAAAGTTTTATACAAACTCCACTCACATATATGACATGTGCAATTCCAAAACTAGATGAAGCCGCCAGTTGAATGTTGCTTCTTTGGCTTCTTTTTCTGATGCTGCTGTTACTGCTGCCACTGCTTCTTCATTCGTGTCGGTCTCCAAAACAATAAATGTTTGAACACAAGAAAAACAATAAATGTTTGTCGGTATTTTATTGTCGCATTCTCCGTTTGGCTTCAGATTCATGATCACATGTGACATATTTGTTTTTCACTACCATTCGTTGGTATTTCGAAATTACAGCCATCGGAATGTGTATTCGGTTCGGTTCTGTTCTGTTCTGTTCTGTTCTGTTCTGTTTGGTTTGCTTCTATTCAAAAGCTTCGACGCTTCGTTTTGTATTGTGTAGCGAACTTCGACCAGATCAAGTCTGGTTGCATTTATTCAATGTTTTCGTATGCCGCTACATATGTTCTGTTGGCAGAGCCGATGAGCAACAACAAACAACAGCAACAACAACAGAAAAAAAATCCAATAAACATACCATACACACAATTACCCATAAAGTTAAGACGAAAGGATGCATGCCTCATGTAATAAATGTAGAAAAGACCATTTCACGGTGCGCTAGATCCACAGCACCACACAAGCAATTGCTTTATTTTCTTGAGGGATTGTCACATTGCCATTGCGAGAATTACTTGTCGGTGGTGTTCCTTCTCACTCTTTATCTCTAGCTCGCACACACAAAAACACACACACACATACATTGTCATTGCCTCTGGATGTGGCAGCTAAAGAAAATATCACAAATATTGTGATAAATGAAGTGGCATTACAAAGTGTCTACCGATGTCGATGAATAACATTTGTCGTAACGAAATGTTATCGCATTTCACGCAATATCTGCTACAGAATTGCATATGAGATAGAACGAGAGTATGGTGTGAAGATTTTTCACTTTTTTTGATATTAAAAGCGAGGAGCTGCGCGAGTTGTTTAACGAGCGAAATGGTTGCATGTGGATTTTGTTGGCATTTTACTTATTGTATTCCTTTACAATTAAATTCTATTTGAGTGGATTTTCTTCGCATAAGTGTCCAATTGGTAATTGTTGTTTTCGTTTCACTAGTGTTTTGTGACAAATCAAAAGGAATTTGTTCCAATTTCCATTTTGAAATGTGACAAGATGAGTGAAAATGGTGCACATTCTATCTAAGTGAAAATAGAAGAGAGAGAGAGAGAGAGAGAGAGAGAGAGAGAGAGAAATAACAACCGAATATGCGTATTGCATCGCTTTTGATAACAAAGTCATTCGGGGATAATTGTAAAGCGTTTGTATTGTGATGTGTGTGTGTGTGTGTGTGTGTACGTTTGTAGCGAAACAATTTAGACAAGCGTATGGTTTCCGTTTGTGAAAAGTTCAAAAGACAACACGATTAATTTTATGCTCGTTGTCTTTTTACGGAATTTCACCATCGAAACGGAAGTAAAATAAACGAGCGAGCAAACGAACGAACCAACCGAGTATTAAAATGCTACGCTATTGTTTATTTTGCGTGTTTCGCTTAATGTTTTTTTTCTTCTTTCTCTGTATTTTTTTCTATCTGATCTGAGTGAAAAGAAATTTCATTGTAAAATTCCGGAGCACAAGTCGAATGCGAGTTATTGTTTGACATCGCAATGATATCGACTCGGTTCCACGTGCGCGCAGCGCGCTTATCCGCTACATATATATCTGTTTCTGTGTATCTCTGTCTCAGTAATCTCTATTATTTGACATGGATACTGCCTGACTGTGTTGCTTTGAGCTCGAATTAACAACAATTTTAATTAGAGAAATTGTGTACTTGGCTCGTTGTTTTTGTTTTCTCTCTCTCTCTCTGTGTGTGTGTGTGTTGGTATTTGATGTTGTTGAGGTTTTTTTTCCGCCGTATGAATAATCACAGGAGATTTTATGCTGAGTAATTTGCGGGGCCGAATGGCAAAAGCATAACGACAATTTCGCAAATCATCTAAAATTCTTCTTGCTCGTTTAAATATGTATTTTTTTATTTCGTTCTTGTTTTTGTCCCAAAAAAAAAACCGTAAATAAATGCAATTTACATATTTTATCATTTTGTTTTGTGGACATTTAAAGGAAAAGAAATGCTACGAATGTCCGGCCATATTTCGGCTTTACACTCACTTAAACAAAACACGTCAAGCGGAACATAGGCAACACAAACGAAGAAGAAGGAGAAAAAACACATGCTCAATAAAATCCAAAGAGAAAACGTAAAAACTAAGATAAGAAAAAAAAAACTCATTTTCCCAAAAGCTTTTTTTCCCCCTTGAATAATGGAAGAAGCGTGGCCATAGCGCTTATAAAACCAAAAAAAAAACGAGAAATGAGTGAAAAAAATAAATAAAACGAATTAAATCTTTTTGGTCGAAGCATCTAATGTAAATGGGGATTAAAGTGATAACAAATTGTTTGTATTTGATGCCATTATTTGTACATTCCATCATGTTTTGCCATTGCATGCTTTGCTTCTTCAATATTTTTTGCTCTCTCTCTCTCTCTCGGTCATCATTATGCTCTTGTTGTGGTTTCTCGTACCAATTTTTTTTCTTTTTCAATTATTTATTATCATCCCGTACCGAGTTCATTGCGTCAACAGCCCAGAAACAAATAAGAAAAAAAGGACACGATAAAACTGTTCTGTATCATTTCAAGTTGATATTTAATTTTGTTTATGTTTTATTTCATTGCAGCTCCACCGTCAAATATTGAAATCCAAGGTTATGGGCCCAACTCCAAAGTGGAGGTGCGCGAAAATCAAGATTTAACACTCACCTGTATCGTATCGGACGCCAAACCGGCCGCTCAAATTCAATGGTTTCGAAATAATATGGAAATGAAAACAGGTAACACTCTAATTGCATTAACTCAGCTACTTTAATTCACCGAAAACACACACAGTCGTCGGTTATGGCCGAAATTGTTTTGGGGTGAATGATGAACGACGATAAACCACGAACGTTGGAAGTGGAATTATATCCAAATTTGAATCCGTTTTTCATTTTGCATTTGATAGATCGCCGTGACGATAAAGTAATCGAATCAAATAAACGATTTACAACGACATCACGTCTACAACTATCACCAACACCTGAGGAAGATTACGTGGAATACTCGTGTCAAGCAAAGCATAAAGCTCTACAGCCCGATATGCCAATGAGAGCCACCGTTCAACTATCGGTTCTATGTAAGTATTTCTGCATATATATATATCCCTATATTCGATATCATGCACATGTATCCTGCCAAAGACTCTTGCCTCGTTTCACGTTCCTTCTGGCGGTGCATTTCGTGTGTGTATTGATGAACAAAACTTTATCACAAGGACCCAAATCACATGCATTGCATGATATGTGTACAATGATTTCGTCGTGCATTTTGCATTTTCCCCCAAAAATCAATACATCTATGCTACATTTGAAAGGAAACCTTAATAGAAATGTCGTAATATGTCAATGCATTCACCGCATCGCACATGGAAATGGCGTTTATTTGAATCAGACCGTTTTCGATTGATGAGGGAAAATCTTTTGCAATGAATGGTCTTTTGCATCAAAAATGGTTGCAAAGAATTAAAAACAAACTATTTTATATATATATGTGAAAAGATTTAAATGGAGTTTTTGTAAAACATCAACACCCGAGTACGGAAGAGGAAGATTTGAGACAAATCTCAAATGATTCTGGTCGACTAAATGGGAAAATGGACGAATACAAACACAATACATATGCTGTAATTCACACGCATATATTTTCACCTGTAATTTACATTTCCATACTTGCTCATGTACCCACACTCCACATCTCTGGCTAGCTCGCCCGCTTTTATATATATTTCGGTGTGTGTATATTAACAGTTTACACAAATTTTCGTTCATTTTGGCTTGCATAGCAACTGCACGAAAATCTCTTAATCCAAACGTATTGAGAAATAACACTTACCTATCATCATATCGTACCACATTAAATAACTTTTCATCTCTTGATTTCTCTTCCTCTCTCTGTCCCACACACACACACACACATACACTCTTCTCGGACTTCATTCATTCTATTTATCGGAGAACCGATGATTCTGAGCTTTATTGTTTGCTGAATGGTCGCTAGCATATCAAGTTGAGATTTTCACAATAGAACAGCAGAATGGTATTAACAGCATCGTTCCCAAAGATGCATTCAACATGAATTACGCAAATTATCACGAAGATTTAGTCAATGAATGTCGAAAATAAACACATTGAGATATACAAATAGGGATACACGCACAGAAAGAGGGAGAGAATGAGAACATAATATGATTTTGACTAATATCAGATGTCGTCTATTTTTGAGATGTAAAGCTTTTTCAATTCATAATTTTTGAGACATTTTCAATGAATTCTTAAACGGTTTCCAATCTCAGCGACTTAAAAGCATGCACTGAGTGTGATTGTATGCTGATCAGAAAGAACCATGGTCGCCATAAGTTAAATGACGAAAACCAATCACCATCACACAATGGAATCATAATAAAAAATTCAGTGCATTTTCTTTCGTCGCCGAATGACGTATATTTGGCTGTTATTGAAGCTTTTACACAGCACAACAGAGGCCACTTGAACAAAAGCGCTGAAATAATTTATTTACTTTCAATGGAAAGAAGAGAAGGAAAAAAAAAGCACGACAAGCGAACGAGCAAGAGTGAAAGAGAGATAAAGGGAAAGAGAATGAGAAAATATCGTTTTTGTTCAGCGAATGGATAAAAACATTGTACATAAACTTTGGTTGAATATTAATTTTCATGTTGTAAAATCATAAATTTCATATTGACGTTGGAAAACGGAGTAAAATGCAAAAAGTTACGATAAAATCGAAAGAGAGAAACTGACACCATAGCGATGATGCGAAAGCATCCTCAAACTCGACCATCGTCCCATACACACACACACATATTTCGAAAGTAAATGTAATGCTATCGAAAGCATTTTAGGCCAGAGATACAAATCGAGAGTTGGTTAATTAAATAATTCCCCCGTGCGGTTGTGTTCCTGATTTTCGAACGTTTGTTTTGTGTCTGTGTGCCTATGTGTGTTCATGTGCGGGCGCTGTTGAACGAACGATAGTGCGGTACAGCCCAGCTAACTCCATATGTTGAATGTAATAGGTGTGTGTATGTATATATATCTGAACCACATAAAATACACGCACAAGTTCAATTCATCGAATGCAAATTGCGTTCGAAACGATAATTCTATAAATTAAGCATCATTAATTTTCGGTGGGCTTCGCTATTTTGCCGAAGACAATATTATTATTAAACACAGGCACGGCATTATACATTCTCCTTCATGAATACCAACTCCATTTCGTTCCCCCCAGTTTAATCGAATTCAATTGCGAACGATATTTACAAAATATTGAAACATAATTTTAAAGTGTCTGACAAGAGTGTTTCGAGATTAAGTTTTTGTCGCTACTTTTTCCACAATCTCTCTCTCTCTCTCTCTCTCTCTCTCTCTCTCTCTTTATCTCTCCCGATCAGTTTTTGCGCTTGGTGTTTAACGCCTACCAAACACACAATTTATACTCCACTTCAAGCGGTGCACTTGAAAATTCGACATTTTCTCCATTGCAAATTTATGGAATCAATGGAAAATTGTGTGTGAAGTGATAATTTGTTACCATTCTTAATCAGACAATACAGCACATAATATAGCATCAAATTAGAAGTGAAATTATTTTTGTTTTCTTTCATGTGATATGTGCGCAAGCGTGTGAGGTTGGCTGTATTTTTTTTATGCCAAAATGGGTTTCATTTGAAACTATTTCTCTCATCCGATTATTCCAGCTTATGGTCGATATAATACCATGATACAGCAAATAGCTTGTTTTTGTAAATCATCACACAAAAACCGCACAGAAACATTATTTTGTGCAAAAATGTGTGTGTGTGTGTGTGTGTGTGTGTTTGTTGTTTTGAATTTGAAACAAATACATACTCCATCTATGTAATTAGCACAATTGAAAAATCATCAAACCATACAATTATATAATCAAATGCTGGATCTATTCTTTGAATTAAGACTCACATTGAATTATATTAATCGGCTAATCAAGCAATTGAGTTTACGGATTATACATCAAGCAAGCAACCCTCAATTTGATAAATACGACACACAAAATTGTATATAGATAAACAATGCGATTCTGTTGAATCGCTGATTTCAAAAGATACTAGAAGCGAATGAACCATTTCAATAGAGAGATAGAGGGAGTGAACCTTTCAATTCTTTCTCCCTTTGTTTTGTTTATCAAATAAAACTCAATTAAATTTTGTTTTTCTGTTTGACGCGCTCTATTCACAGATCCGCCCGGAGCACCATACATCGAAGGATACACGACTGGCGAAACGTTGCGTCGTGGTCAAAATGTGGAACTAGTTTGTAAAAGTCGCGGCGGAAATCCACCAGCACAATTGATTTGGTATAAGAACGGTGTTCAAGTTCGCATGGCCTACAGGTAAATTCAGAAAACCATTTACACATACACACACATGTATATCAATTTTAGTCTCTCTAGCACTATGCATGTATAAAATCAATGCTTAAGCAATGGACTGCAGTAAAAGATTTAGCGCTGAATAAGAAGGTAAATGCGAATGGCACATTTCATGGGAACGAGAGGGAAAAAAGGAGGAAATTAACAATGTTATGAGAAAAGCTCTGACCAAAATGAAATATACATAGTTTACGCTCGAATAATCACCCGACTCGAAAATCTCTCTCTCTCTCTCTCACTCTCACTCCCACTCTCACGTACACACCCAGACGGAGTGAGAGAGTGTCAGAAAGGGAGAATTTAGTGGAAATGCCATTTCAAAAGTGAATGAAAAAGCGTCGCTGGGCCGATGAACGCGTTTTTATGATCGTGGCAAAAAGAAAAATTACCGTAATTCACTTAATGTACGTGCGCATAATGGATTACGTTGGAAAATGGGAATTAAGCGAATTGATATATATATATATATACACACTCATATACACGTAACGTGTTATTACTTATTTTCGACCAATGGCCTAATATACTAACACATTGCCTTTCAACTATTACTGCAATGGCTAAACATGCATCACAAACACGATACATAATTAAGAAATAACATGGCCATTTAGAATTTCCTTCAATCCGTTTACAATTCAATACTACGTATTTTTACTGCAGCGTCAATCACACAGGAAATATTATATTGATGCGACAGCGTTTAGTGCATGAAAAATTATATTTTTTGTGTCAATTTTAAAGATTTTTCTTAAATTTTTTAATTCAAATGATTTCTGATCGTTTTTTTTCTTGTATTTAAGCTTAAAATGTAACTTTAATGTCATTTGAAATGTGAAACATGTCATGAACTCAAACTATTTCTAAGCTTTTCATCTTATGTCATATGTCAACAAATTGTGTTAACAACATGTTTGATCCAATTCTAACGAATTTTTCGTTTCTTTTCTTTCTCTATTCGTTCCGCCACCAAAATGATGATGCTGCTGCTGCTGCTGATGACGACAACGACAACAACAAATGTCCATGCGCTTTGGTACGGATGTACACAGGACCTCGGGGAGAATATCGGAAAATGTATACTCGTTTACAGCTGAGGCTAATGACAATAAAGCACGTTTCCGTTGCGAAGCCAGCAATATTATGTCACAAACACCACTGAAAGCTGAAGTTGATTTAACCGTTATGTGTAAGTATTTATTAATTGTCTGCGTCGGATGCTTTGGAGAAAAAAGAGCGAGATGGAGAGAGAAACAGAAAAAAAAATAGAAGCAAGCAAAGATTTGAACAAGTGAAGCGTCGATGTTTTTCGTTTTCTTCGTTGCAAGAAGTAAAAATGTTTCCACAAAATCATGGTTTTTCTCACATATTTACACACATATATCCTGTGCCCATTTGCCCAATGAATCCAGCCATGTTTTCCGTTCATACATTTGCCGCAGTTGCTCCCCGTTTATCTATTCATGTAAATTGTATGTGCGCGCAGTTTGTGCATTAATTTGGATTTTCCGGTTTAACTGCCAGTTTTCTTTATTGCATCATTGCACTTGGGGGAATTCAATCGAAACTTTATTCCGTTCTCGGTGTCTCTGGCTCATTCAAATAGATTTAACAGTTCATTTAAGTAATGCATTTGGTTGCACGGTAGCGTCGGCGGTGGCGACTGGAGGGAACTTGAAACACTGGCGGGGGTGGACGAGAGAACGACAAAGAGCCCGAATGCACAACGCAAAATGGCAAATCGATAAACAAATAAATTACAATTAACACGGATGCAATTGCATGCAAGTGGAGTGTATCTGTTTGTTAATTGTAGTAAATTTGAGCTGTGAAAATCCTCGGCACACATCTCGAATAAATGGTGCCCGTTTGTTAGCTGGGTTACATGCATTTGCCGGTGAATTTGTGGTTGGAAGAGTGAGATAGAGAGAGCATCCAATTCGCATGCATTTATTCAACAATTTTTCTTGAGATAAAAGCTGAGCCACTTTAGGATTTAAACTGCGACATAAACACAAGAACACACACACACACACACAAATATCGCTCACTGCGTTCGGAAACTAGCACGCTATCGCCACCTAAATACAAACTTCTCATACGATTAATTCATTTACAATGTTGCTTTTCTCTACAGTTTTTTCCTCATCTCATGCACATTCATTATACATTTTCGTATTTTTACTCTGGCAAAAATAATCGAATGAGTATTTGGGTCGATACTTTGCAAATGAATTCAATTGCAATGCAACCTTTGTTGCAATTCTTATCATATGTGTAGGTGGTTTTTTTTTCTATATTCCACTCGTGTAGTCGTTTGTTTTTATGCTATGTGTGTGTGCAATAGCAAGAAAATGTTCGGTTGCATATTATTCGTTTGTCAAATAAGTTGAAATGCCATCGGCTGTTAGCTATTCGTCAAGTGAACTGAAAATCCGAGTAATGTCGTCCAAACAGATTCCAGTTGTTAGATGACTCTTTTATTTCTCGAGTCGTTTCTTTTGTTTTGTTCGTTGACGGGAAACGGGTACTGTGTACGCGAGAATTTTATGAATATATAATATGTGGATGAGTGTATGCACTTGTTCGGGTACTTTGTTTTTCATTTAAAAGCTTGCAGCGTCCTTTCGTAATTTCAATTTTGAAATGTATGAATAAATAACCTTTTACATAAATATCAGACTTGGTCTCTCTGTGTGTCGCTATCTTGCTTGCATTTATAAAAGTTACAGCCACTCGGCTGCTTCTGTTGAAGCTCTCGCTTTTCCCTATGTATTTAAGTTACGTATTAAATTCACTTACCGTTTGTTTCTCATGTGTGTGTTTCTTTTTTTTTCTTCTTTTTTTTCTCTCTCATTGCAGTTGCACCAACTCATGTGACTATAACTGGCGCAACCGAAGCTCGAGTTGGTGACGTTGTGCCACTACAATGTACAACGGCACCATCAAATCCACCGGCTGAAATAAAATGGATGGTTGCTGGGAAACAAATACGGAATGCTACTTCAAAAACAGTTGTTTCACCTGAAGGTATGTTAATTTCACTCATTTCTTTGATTCAGCACGTACACCGAAGACGAGAACAAAATATGTATGATTATAACAACCCATTCTGCTTGCTGCGTGTGTGTCTCACACATCCTAGTCTATATATTGAAGAAAATGCTCACGATCATATTCAGCTTCGTGTTTTCGTTTTTTTTTTCTTCTTTTTTGTGTGACATGCAGCAAACTCATATTGACTATGCAATTTTCTTTTTTCGCCATTCGTTCGGTCGCTCGGTTAGAGAGAAATAGAAAGAGAGGGAGAGAGAGAGAGAGAGAGAAATAACGAGAGTAGATGCTTGTATGCGTATAACAATTGCATTGTACTTAGATCAGAGTCATTTAGTGTTTTCCAGCTGCCAGTATATTTGTTTACATTATGTGTCTCCCGTTTTCTGCTATGCTATTTCTCTCTCTATTTTTTTTCCTGCCCCGTTCTCTTCATTCGCTCGACGACCGGTTATCTTCGCAGAAAATCATTTCCTCTTGTGTGCTCACGTTTCAACTTTTCTCATTTTTCATAAACATGAATGCATTCATCCAACACAAAATGCTATTCTTCTGCTTCCGTCTTGGCAACTGTCCGACATTCGTTTTTTTTTCTTTTCATTTTTTTTTTTCGTTGTTGTTGTGTTTATGGAATGGATTTGCTAGCGCAGTAAATGCAAAAGACCTGGCAAAAGCTTAAAAATTGACCCCGAAGCTCAAGTAATCCTGGGGCTATCACATTTGGCTTTGAATTATCATCTTATGAGTTAATTTTTTTTTTGTTTCACTACAGCTCCTGCTTCGTTAGCTCGCTGCCATTGTCATTCTATTGTATTTTGTTGAAAAGTCGATGTGACACACAATTAATTGTGCCCTCCTACAATGAGAGGGACAGCACAGAAATCTGTGTCTCGAAATTAGTCAATAATTTTCTATCCAATGCAACACGAAAGAATCATTGCGGTCGTAATTTTGTTTGCCCACGGTTTTTCATCTATTGAGAGGAGCTGAACAAGTGTTCTTTTTTCTCGCTTTTCAAATCGAATAAAGCATAGAGCGGGTAACAAGTGCTGTTGATGCATGTGCAACACACGCACACATACACACCACAAACTAAAACTGTTAATAATATATTCAATGTGGACTCTGGTAATGGTATCTACATTATGCGCATATGTAACATACGCAAAATGGGTGTCCAATTCCATAGACAAAGTGTTGCGCAATGCCTGGCGAGATTTTGTTTCAATCGAACCGGAGATTGTTTTCGTATTTGGCAAAACGAACAGCGTGTTGCTGATACTGCTGTTACTGTTATTACTGGTGGTGATGCTGCTGCTGATAGTATGGATGCAAATCCAGTAACTGCATGGTATCTCGTATTTGACCTATTTTATTGGCAACATGTATCAAAGAGGAGGGAAACGCCAAAGAAAAAACAACAACAATATTGTAGAAGAAAACAAAGGAGCGAACCGGGGCGAACATAATGGTTTAAATAAATTTCGAAGTGCTGCATATTGTGTGCATTCAAACGCACAACACATTTTGTACACCATATTTTCGCCTGTAAACGTAAACAAATACACACACATCCACACGCCAAAATTAAGCCATCATCATCATTTTCTCATTGTATGCAACTATATACAAACTCATCGACCCGGAGCCAGGAACAAGAAAAATAAATGGAAGAGAAAGCGAAACGATATCATTACATCGAATATTCTAATATTCAAATTCGAATAGACGACGCGATACAGTGCCAGCCATTGCGATTATATACATATATAATTTTTTTTTTCATCGCTTTGATCATATGCTACATGCTTCTTTTTTCGTTGCTCTCGCAATCGTTTCTGGCGGAAACGGAGGGCGTTAGTGTCAGTGTCATGGTCCTTGTCATCTCTCACTTTTCTGCTCGCCAGATTCTCAGATCCAAAGTCACATTCGCTTTCTATCTATGTGGTGAAATAGAGCGGTAGTGGCACTACCTCGACTTCAATATGATAATGTGATTCAGAACATTTACCAAAAAGCACCGGGAAAAAACTCCAACAACTACAGTCTCTTGGGTACGAAACGAGAAATAAGAAGAACATCATCAACAACAACAACAACAACAACAACAACAACAACAACAACAACAACAACAGCAGCAGCAGCAGCAACAAATAAGAAAAATCCAAACCAAAAAATTGAAGCACCCAGAACACATACACACACACAGACAACATGACACAACACTGTCTGTTTGTAATGCCAAGTGTTTGAAGCAGATTAGAATGAAACGACATCGGCAACGATAAATGGTGATAAGTTTAAAGACACTGATGCTACCGAAAATATTTTGCATAAGATTAAATCCTAATGCAATCGCCCATTACAATGTATTTTTCGCCTTTTGTCCCAAGCATTCGTGTGTCGTGTCTCTTTGCCCATCTCATCTTATTTCACTCACTCCCTCGCACACACATACACTCATTCTCTCTCTCTCTCTCTCTCTCTCTCTCTCTCTCTCTCTCTCTCTCTTTCTCTCTCTCTGGGTTTGTCGATCTCGCCTCCGAGCCACATGTCAGACATCTTTATCATATACAGATTTCCCGGAGCAAGCATTCTAGCCACATAACGGAAGCATTATGCATATTTTTCCGATTCTCTTCGCCCTCATTGCTTCGATGCTCCCTGATTTTCTGCTGCTGCTGCTGCTGTTGCTTCTTCTTCTTTGTTTCGTTTTGTTCGTTCCATTTGCACAAAATGGTATTTAGTAGTTTGTTTATAAGTTAAGTGTATGTAATAAGCTCTGGCACATGCAGGAAATATGGGGCAAAATTTCCTATTTTAAATAAAAATAACAACATCCACATTATGTTGATATGAAAGACTGAGGACATAAAAAAAATGCCGAAGTCGGAGCAAAAACAACAACAACAAATAAATAAATTTCCGAAAATGAGGCAGCAGCAGCAACAAAAGGAAATAGGTTTGCGTTCATGTGCACATCTTCTTGTTCACTAACACGCTCTCTCTCTCTCTCTCTGCCTGCGTGTGCGCTTTTCTCTCTCTCTCTCTCTCTCTCTCTCTCTCTCTCTCTCTCTCTTCTCTCTCTCTCTCTCTCTCTCTCTCTCTCTCTCCTGTTTGAATATCATGAAAACGCTTTTGTTCATGTTTAATTTCTATTTATAGTATCTCATTAAACAACTAACGACCAATGAATGACAGAAAAAAGTCATTGTTACACAAGGAAAACATAATTAACTTCATTTATTCAAAGCTTTTGTGCACAGATTAAATCGCATTTATTTTTGTGCAGTGGTTATTTTCTCCATTTTTTTTCGCTTCCATTTTTATTTCTTGTGCTGTTGTTGTGTTGTTTGGGGTGGTTTTCATTTGATTTTAGTTTTTCATAGTGGACATGGACAGAGAACATCCGACACCATCATTCGCTTGCTTGCGGATGGGGTTTTTTTGTGTTCAATTTACCTTCTCTTCTATTGTTGTTACTGTGTGTAACCGATCTGAAAAGTTCCAAAAATTATTCGAGTCATTTTATGATAATTTTATTGGTTGCTACAACCAATGCAGCACCAGCCAGTCATTCACAACAATACCAAGAGGAACGAAAACAATGCACAGCGACTGCATCACCGAAATTTTTTCGCATATATAAAATGTTCTGTATGCTTCATATCTCGCACACATACGGTTGTGCAACCGAGCATTAACTCAAGAGGAAAACCAAATTCAATAATAAAAATTCGCAGCAAAAAAACAAAATTGGTGAAACGAACAGAAGACGAACAATGGTATTATTTTGGGTGCTGTGAAGCGAAATACATTTTTGTAAATGGCCAATAAAAGTGCAGAGAAAACGGACTTCATTCGATTGGGTTAATGTACAGAATTTGGTATTCAGATATAAAAACAACAACAACAACAAAAACAGTAAACGTTCAAAACAGAGTGCGTACGCACACTTCCGAGCGCATCGGTTTGTACTTCATTTGTCATTCGAATGAATGAAAAACTGACATCACATCATCTCATTCTAAGTTGTTCTCGTCCAATATCTAAGATCTGTAAGCTAGGATTTCATTTATCTCCAAAATTAATCTCATTTGTTTTTTTGTTCATCTTTTATTTCAGGCGGCTGGGTGACCACATCCAACATAACGGCACTGGTTGAGCCAAACAAGCGATCATTAGTGGTAATATGTCATGGGCTAAATATGCAACTCACCGAAAATGTGGTATCAACGCATACCGTGAATGTTTTATGTAAGTAAATCAAGCAAATAAACTACAACAATACATAACTAACTGGCCGACGAAATAAAGCGACGGACAAACAGCAAACTGCACATTCACTTGTTTATCCACTGTGAATAAAATCATTTTGCACCCTTCTTCTTCTTCTTCGTTGTAGTCGTCGTCGCTTTTTGGCCACACACACATATATATATATATCTCCCTTTTTTGCCACGGTCCCTTTGTTGGGTATGTGTGTGAATGGTGTGAAAGATTTGTTTGTTGAAATGCCATGGAAAATAAAGCATGCATGCAAAACGATTTAAAAACGGATCTGTTGCCACTCGGCCACAAGGAAAATGATAAATTATTTCATTTCGCCAAAATATTTTGATATGTTTTGTATGCCATTTTTTTGTTGCTTCCATTCTTTCTATTGGCTTATGTGTTATTATTGTTGTCGTTGTGTATCCAACCAAAACCATATTCATGTATGTGTATGTGTATTATGGTGTACGCGTCCGTGTTCATTGTTCAGTACAGTGAATGGCGTCAGTTATTTTTCTTCTTCTCCTACTCAATAGAGAACACACAGGCCGTTTCTCATATGGCAGCACATATACACACACAGAGGCAGAAAAATGAAAGAAATAAAGAAAAAAACGTGGCCAGAACAATGGGAATCATTTATGGTGGGGAGCCAACATGTGAAATCCTTTGCATATTATTGTTTGGTCAAATGCAATGTTACACAAGGAAAAAACGGTGCCTTGGGAAAGGAAGCAAGTGTGAAAAAGAAACACAGATTAAGCGCTTCAATAACAACAACATGCATTCGGTGCAAAATCCGACAATCCAAGCCACAAGAACAGCACACAAATTCAGGCATTTAATTGAGCTGTTTCGAAAATCGTTTGCCGTTTGTGAAATGTAAACAGTAATCTCGAACAAATTCGTCGATTTAAAACGTGTTGAAACGGTGCATCACAGAAAATCCCGGCTAATTGAAGATATGAACAATGAACGAACAAATGGTCAAAAATGAAAAGTCACAAGAATACACTGAATTAAGAGCATTCGGCGGCTTTCTTCTCTTATTCGGAAACAGCGGCGATGACGACGATGTCGGTGGCGAGGCGGAGGCGGCAAATCTTTTCCGCTGTCAAATCGCTTAGCAAAACGACTGAGCAGATAGTGTATGGTATGGAACTTTGTGTGTTTGCATCGTTTTGAATGTAAAATGCATGAACGAACGAAAAAAAAAATTCTCAAAGAAAGCAGTGCTCAAACCCAGCCAAAAGATTATGTTCCACGATACGAACAATGTTATATGTCGTAGCCAAATGAAAGTAGAAGGAACAAACGAAAAATAAAACCCCAACGTACGAACGAGTGAAATCCTGATTGCAAATGCATTAAAACGATATATCGTTTGCAAGTAGCAAGGTGCTGTAATGTAAGCCAACTTGTGAAGGAATTGGAAAAATGTGTGGTACATTAAATTCCGTTCCGGTTTTAACAATTTCGGTGTTGCGCGCCGGTAGTTAGAATGGGGTGGGCAGAAGCTAGTCGTACATTTAGTGTGTGAGAATGAAAGGCGATGAAAAACAAAAATAAAATTGGTGGCTTCGTTTTGCAAGAAAACGTTGCATTCATAACGCGCGCGGGTGGGAAATACTTTTGCCATTGCACTCACTCTGAACGGATTGAGTGAATGAGAGTGTATGTAGAGTGAAAGACGAATAATCGCATGAAAGCAAACGAGATTTTCATATTTTCACAAAGGCAAAGACCTTAACGCCGCGCATTTTTCACTACCTCTTAATCCACAACCGAATTGAAAATGTGATGCTTCGCAAGCGGAAAGAAAAAAAGTTGGAATGAGAGCAGAAAAAAAACAGAAGAAAGTCAAAAAAAAAAATGCAATCCAAGCCCGATTTTATGCTACTTTCAAAGTAATATTGTAATGATGACAGCGTTGACGACGACGACGACGACATCGACGTCGACAACAACGATGCTGAATACTTTTCAACCTTTTGAATATAATTGTAAACATCCCGTGCATAAGGATCACATCCACGGCTATATGGTGAAAGTGTGCGCACGAAAGAGTCGCCTCGCGTACGCATTTTCTAGCTCCATGCTATTGGCCTTTTCTTCGATGGTTGTAAAACTTTAAGTATCCACTCATAGTTTTCGACTGCATTTTAGTGTGTACACTCTTTTTTTCTACATTCTCTCTTCCGAATAGAAGCGGTCGTATTTGCCACTATGCACGAAATAGTGTTTTGCAATGTAAAAAGATGCAAAAATTTGTACGAAAGCAAGTTAAAGTCACCGCTTCCCAATTTTCACGGGGCAAAAATACAATAATAACAACAACACCGTCGGCAGCTGAAGAGCAAGTGGGACAGAAAAAAAAAGTTGAAATACTCAATCGCTTTACGTTCGTAATGTCTTAGCACACGTCAACGATTATACTACGCTTTATTACTACATTTTTGTCTCACTCCTCTTACTGCTGCTGCTTCTGCTGCTGTTACAAGGATAACGCATACACACAGAAAAAGAAGAAGAAAAAAAAACACTACAACAACAACCATCACCAGAGGACGCGAAACAAAGCGAACGAATGGCCAAGAACTTAGCAGTAAAATTGCGAATGCACACATTAAGATGATGTTAACTACTCGCAATACTGCTGGAACTCTAATTAAAATCTTGACAACATTTTCTAGAAGCACTCGAAACTTTTCAAGATGAAAATATGTGCAAACCCATTTTCGCCAAAGAACAAGCGCCAGCCACCGCACTCTATCTCGATTCATGCAACCAAATCCCATGGAAATGTGTGCGCGCATACAGTGCACACGCTCATCGTCAAGCGATTACTCGTTGCATTTTACAATTTCTCTCGCTCTCTCTCTCTCTCTCTCTTACACTCACTTCAGCATAAAATGCACTGAGTCACGGATTTGAAACAACAACTTTTTGATAACATTCGCACTAACCTTAAGCTACTTTTGCCAATAAATAATGAGAACATGATGCTAATGTTTACAGAGAATTTGCAATCGTTCGACTTTGTTCATCGTTATTGAGACAGACAGACAGATACATGAAAGTGTGTGTGTGTGTGTTTGTATGATGAAAATTACTTGTCTCATCAAATCAAAATCAACATTTTCAAGCGTCTGAAGACAATCCATTTGTGCTCCCTTTGTCTCTCACTCAACACGAGCTGTCGTTGATGTTGTTGGTGATGTTAATAAATTGGAACATGGTGCATTGTAAAATGGATCAAAATTATCATAAATTTGTTATGGAACATTTTCCACCGACTGAAACCCCGAACGACACACACACACACACACTCACGCGGAATTCAATAAATTTGATGCTTGCTACGAGTTGTAACACATCGAATTTGTTTCACACGCACACACACATACACCCGGGCGAGAAAGGAAAATCGTGTGCCAAATTGAATGACAGGCACGAAGCGAGAATATATGTAATAATTAGTATTGGCATATGCGAATTGGGCCCGGCATCCGATTCGACGTGCATTATTTTATTGCTTATGTTATCATTGGAATATTAAGTGTACATGGTATGACATGAGGATGCATCGCATGTTTGCTTGTATCACATTTATGCCAATTGCAACACAACATCCACTTGTTCTCATAATTTACGTCTACTTTGGGCTAAGATGCAGACACATACACCGAAACCGACACACATATCGGAAGTGATTTGCAAAGCGCAAAAATAAAACCGAAGTGAAAAAAAAAACAACAACGAATGAGAAAATGAAGTCGGAGAAGAAAGAAGATGAACGAGTGAAAAAGCCTCAATCACAAAAGAAAATTCCAGCCGCAAACAACAATAAAAATAATCAGTGGCTTGAGCAACGCCAAGAAATCTATGTGTCGTAAAAATGCTGACAAAGTACAACATACGAAGACGTTTCTTTAAGTGCTTTCTGTTTGCGGGCGTGCGCGAATTTGTATGCTCATTCATCGGATAGCAGCAAAACATCGTCAAGAAAAAAAAGTACAGCAACAACAAAACTTTTTTTCTCTCTCAATACAAGTCAACGTGTCTCTTCTACTAGTGCTCTTTTTTTGTATGTTCGGCTTGGCTTCGATATGGCCTGTTTTTTTTTTCTTGGTCTTGGCTTCTTCATTTTAACATGCATTTACTTCCGTCTTTTGCACATAGTCAATCGAAAATAATCGAAGCAAGTCTAGAATACAAGAAAAGGTTGACGCTTTTTCAATTCTGTCACTCCGAATTTTTCCTCCTACTTCTGTTTGCCGTAGAGCAGTCTGTTTTTCTTATTATTCTCATATTCGTTTGTTGTTGTTGATTTTTTTTACTTTGTCTTCTTTGCATTTCATTGTTGCTGCTCGCTGCTGTTCACGGCAATGCTTCATTCTTTCCATTTGAAGCTTTACAACTACTTAGAGTCGCTGTTCCAATTGGGTTGTTTCCATTCTTCAACTTCGACATATGAATAGTTGTGGTGGCATGAAGTGTGGTGTTGAGCCGTCGTTGCTCTCGCTGCCGCTGCCACCGCAGACGCATTCGACAACGAAAACGATTCATATGCCCTTCGCTGAATCAACTTCACACTTTATGTCTCCCGATGTATTCCAATTTGATGCATTTTTTTTTCCTTGTGTCAATCCGTTTTTCCTCCAACATTTCACATCTTTTGAACGCACAATATTGACACTATTAGTTTTATTTTCACACACACACACACACCCCCGAACGCTAGCTCGCGTGCCAATATTGCGCTGAAAGACAGACATGTAAGAGAACACGAGTGAAACAGAGTAACAACAACAACCAATGCCATACCATTGCTGGCATCGAAATACTGTGCCATTTTATTAGGGATTTTCTTGTTTGTGTGCTGCTCTGCTGTTTTCACTTTAAACAGCACAATTTCATTGGCTTTATCGTAACCCGATGCATGATCCCGAAAGAATCAGTTGATTTGGCCATAAAAACATTCGGTTAACATATAAAATAATACAACACACACTAACACTCACACCAAAAGTTTTTGCGAAAAAACGAGCGAGCGAAGAAATTGACACAAAACTGTTGTTGTTGTGTTATTTGAGTGTTTGTTGTGCGAGCGCGCGCACGCGCGCGCGGATGACACTCCAAAAATGCGACAAATGAAAAAGATTACAATTGATAAGGATTGTGTTGGGTTGTGATTTTTGTTACTGTTGCTTCTTCTTTTTTTTTCAAAGAAGCCGCATTTTTCATCAAACGAAGAAACAAAATTCGAACTTCAAACTGCTACATATTATTTGCCATTGGACTAAAATGACACACACATATACATACGAAAAAAAAAAGAGAAAGAGAAATGGCTGAAAAGAAGCAAGTGTGCAAAGACACTGTGTGCCCATCACACGATGCAATCTCAAGTGTGCAACATGCAAACTCCAATCGAAATAACAACAACAACAGCAACAACAAAAAAGGCGATGCACGCGAGATGATTTATCATAAAAATAAAGTTACATCAAACTTATTCATTCGAAAACGGAATCCGCTTTTTTTTGTCGTCGTCGTCGTCGTCGTCGTCGTTGCGTTGTTTGTAAAACGAATATTCAGCATCATCCATCTCGAGAGTTGTGTTGCAGTTGAAGGGTTGCACAGAAGCTCGGTATGCTCGCAAACAAATTGCCGAGGATTAAAATTATGACACAACCACCGCATAAGGTGCTGTCTAAGAATGACAAATACGACACTTTATTATATTTAAAACATATGCATCAAATTAGTCAATTTTTTTTCTCTTCTTCTATGTCGTTCACCATTCCATTGCTATCTGTCTCACTCTCTATCTATGTCACAGTATCTTCATCTTCTTCACTTCTCTTCTCTCTATATGAATGCATTCAACCACAAAATTCGATTTAGCCAAACGTTACAAGTTGGTTTTCCTGTCCCCTTATTATCAATCATCAATCTATTAAATTAGCAAGTTTTCTCTTTCGGTGTGTAGTAATTCATTAGTCTCACTCATGGGAGTTTGGACCGATTGAGGGATGGATAGAAAATGTGTGACAAATTGAAAATAGATAGATTTTTATGTGCCTTCTATCTTGACCGACATTCAACTCTAAATTGCCATCAATTCAGCACGAATCTTCATTTATTTTACTCAAACTTATGACGGTTTTATTGAAAGGATAATGTGGCACTTATAATAAAAAAAAAAGAAAGAAGCGAGAGAGAGAGAGAGAGAGACGATGCGTAGCGTAGAAGAAAAGTAAAGAGAAGAAGAAGAAGAAGAAGAAAAACGGTCATTCAAACGCACCATTGGCTATTGGACCCCAATGAGAAGACACATAAAATCCAATATGATGCCCCAATACATGAGCATCGATTGAATTTGGTTTTGGTTCGGAATTTATGTGCATTTCGGACAACACACACACACACACACACACACATACACACTCCGGGCGCACGTGATGATTTCACTTTCTTTACTCAATACAATATTCACTCACTAACTCTGTGTTTTGTTTTTTTTCTCGTTTTCTCTTTTTCTCTCTGTTTATGTTGTTTACTTACAGATCCACCATCCGCACCAATAATATCTGGTTATGTCGAGGGTTCAATTATACCCGCGGGATCTATACAAAAGTTAGTTTGTATATCGTCTGGTGGCAACCCGTTAGCAACGTTAACATGGTACAAGAATGATAAAAAGGTAAGTTTCATTGGATCTCTCTATCACTCTTTCTGTCTCTCATACAAACAAGCACACACACACACTTCCAACTCATTTGTGTGCATTATGTGTGCTTAACCAGTAAATGCGCCCACGTGTGCGCGTTTGCCTGCTCTCGCCCGCGCTTTTGCTCTCGTCCACACAGCTTCCAGCTAGCTTAGCTTTTTTTCAGTTATCTATGTGTATGTTTGTATGAGTGTGTGGATCATGGAGCTAAGCGCGTTGGCAAGCATACCAAATACATAAATTGTGTTTTAAGTTTTTGGCAATTTTCATCCCATACGAACAGCTCGTCTGTTTAATCCATTTAATGCTGCGTAGCAAACGCAACGAACAAAAATTGACGAGCAACAAAGAAAGGGTAAGACAACAAGAATGAACACACATACGCAACAACGACGACGAAGAAAAAAAAACACACCGACCAACCAAGCAGAATTGGTGTATTAATGTTTTGGACGAATCATGTTTTCGTCGACGACGTCAGGCCACTAAAACAAACATGCGAATGATAATACGGTCATCATCTATTTGAACAGCTACAGAGAGCGGACAGCCAAAAGGATTTCACGAGTCATTTAGATGTAATGTGTCTGGCTGAAATCAAATTTTTCTCTTTCGTACGTCGACTGTCGCTTAAAAATCCAACAGTTAATGGGAGGGCGAAAATGCACGAATCACACAGACTCTATGTGAAGTTTACGCTTTGTTTTTCAACATTTATCAATAAACTAATTTGATTCGGACGAAACCGCAGAAATGACGAGCGCACAGAACAAAAGAGAAAATTGAACCCAAAATCCCAACCAAAAATCTCAATAAATATTCGAAAATATTTTGAAATGCGATATGCATAATCGAAAATTCATACAGATTTTTCCCTCTATGCTTTATCGCAATAACCAATACGGTGGCACACATTTTTCACATTTCCTCTCTATCTCGCCGTAACATTCACATTCAGTGGAATTCGATGCGGCAATCTCAGAATCGGAATCATACACACATAACGCATATGAGCTCATTCCTTCGATTTGCCATCAACATATCATTTTTAAGCATTTTTCATACGCGTGCCAACCGCGCAATTTCACATTGTCAAACGAAACGTGAGAACGAAAACGACATAGACGTACATATACCCAGCGAAAGTAATGATTTAGTCAGCGAAAGAATCGAATTCCAAGTATTCGCATATTCTGATACAAGACGAGAATCTCAACAAAAACAATTTCGACGAGCAACGAAATTCTCCAAATTATCACTTTCGCATATAACAACTTACAACCCGATGATAAAGACCGGGTGAGAGAGAGAGAGCCAAAGAGGAAGAATGTGGAAAAAAAGGGAAATAACCGAGAGATCGCGCTGATTGCTGTCATGAATGGAAAAGGAAAAGCGAACGAGTGAGCGACGATGGCGAAAAGGAAGACGAAGTGCATGGAACATTAACATTATGCTCAAGCTAAATACCAGATGAGCCATGACATACACTTTGAATATGAAATGCGACTATGATCGATGTGCACATGATAAGAATACCAATAAGGTAGCGAGCACATAGATATATACACAATGCAGTGAATGAGAGTGAGCGTGTGAGGAGGTGGGTTGGCGGGTTGGCCGATTCGACGATGCGTATAGTACGTATAATTTGCAATTTTTCGTCATGTTTTGGGATTGAGACGCATTTTATTTCGAATTTTTATTCGGATATTATCGCCCGGCGTTTTCCCCCCCATTGTTTGATGGTTCTCGCTTTTTGGAAATGTATGTGTGCGTTTTCACACACTTACTCGCTCACTCACTTGCTCTCTCTCCCTGTTTCAATGCATTGGATGAGTGTGTATTTTGTGCCGGATCGAATCCTCATGTGTTTTAATCGTCCTGATGTGTTTGGTGTTCGCCTGAAAAAAGTGCGCGCGAGCGCTTGTATGCAAATCAGGGGCAAGCATAAGAAAATATATATGTGTGGGGATGAAATGATAAGCGGTCGTTAGAAGACATCACGCATACACATTGAGAATTATTTCAATTTTTCATTCGAAATGCACCTGAGCACACACCACATAAACAAACATCAACTTTATTCAAATACATCCACCCACACTCATCCAAGCATACGTCAAGCAAAATCGTAAGCCGATGAATCCACTCCAAAGGCATTCAAACACACTTTTCGTTCCTTTAATTTGTGAATCGAAAGAGAAAAAAAGAAGCAGTGAACAGAAACGACAACCACGCTCATCACTAAACTAGACAAAATAATTTTGGTAAAAAGTAACAACACAAGCAAATCAATTTTTCAAACAACAGCTCACACATCGGAATGGGTATGTTAATCCCCATAAAAGCAAACAATCAATGATGGGTTGTCGCGTAATGAATGTGATCAACGCTCGTTGTGAATACACCACCGTCTTTGTCATCCATTACAAAGTACTATGAAAAGCGGAAATTTAAATTGTCGTTATTAAAACCATCGCGTTATAAACGATTCCCATCGAACATCATATCATCATCAGTTTGCAAATTTTCAATTCACCAATGCACTTTTTTTTTCGTTACTCGCAAATGCAAAAGTTTATCAAATCCGTCGTTTGTTTTGCGATGCGTACACAAATTTTTGTTTTTTTTCTTCTATTTAATGAAATGAGTTTATGGGAAATTTTCTTCAGTTTGCCAATTCGACAAAATGCAAAAGTCGCAGCACAAAATACGCTAGCAGTTGAATAAAATTGGATTGAAAACAGAAAATAAAACGCAAGGTGAAACTCAGTTTTCGAAAACTGACTCTAAATTAAAATTAATGCAAGCAAACGAATGGCCAACGAGTCATGCATTCGAACGGAAATTCCCGGGGAAAAAATCACGCGAGTACATTTTCCCTTTACGAACGGTGGCCTTTTTTTCTCGTTCTCGTTCTCTCTCTCTCTCTCTCGCTGGCTGCCTCTCGATCGGTTGAAGGGAAACTGCGAATATGCTCTTGAATATCGCCTGAAAGCAATGCAAATTTATACATAGAAGAAAATTACAAAAAAAAAATTCTACAGAAAAAAACAACTAACTAGTCCGTTCGCTGCACATATGTAGACTCATGTTCACGTGCAGTAGCGTATTTCGCATGCGATTTGGATTTTTATTTTCTATTTTTTTCCTCTTTTCGTTGTTCTCGTTCGGTTCGTTTGTCTGAATAAAGCGTTTATTCCAAATAATGTCCTAATTCGAGTAAATTTGTGAAACGGTAAGCATTTCTGTCACATTCGGCTGTACTGGAGTGGATGTGTAAATGTGAACCAAGCTCAACCAGCTCAACGAAAACATAGAAGAAAAAAAATTATACTTCGTTTTCGTTGTTGTGTTCAAACGTTTGTTCTGCCTATCTCGTTCTCTTACTCGTCACTAGTTTGCCATTTCCATTTTTATTTGCTTTGTCATTTTTAACTGGATTTTTCTGACATTTGTGATTTTTTTTTCTTTTCTCTTCTCATTTTTTTTACACGTTGATGCGTTTTTCTTCGTGATGGTGCTGCTGCTACTGCTGTCGTTGAACAACAACTAAATCCAACGTTAAATGATGAAAAAAAACCTGCACACACACACACACACACACACAGATAAATTCGGTGGCGAAAACAAGCGATAAATCCGTTTCGGCTGAACTCACCATTTTAGCAAATGTCACCGACAATCAGGCGATTTATAAATGCGAAGCGCATAATAGTGCCACTGAAATTCCATTATTCGAGACGAAAACACTCAGCGTTCACTGTAAGTAATGTACTCTAGATATAATTTAGTTTACTCATACTCCTGATGTTGTTCGGGATTTCGGTCGTTTTTTTGTCGCCTTCTTTTGGAACTGATTCTAAATGTCTCGACGAAGTTCGGGATGAGGGCGAACAAAAAAAAAGCGATTCGAATGAACAAATACTTCAACTATAAAATAACAACTGACCGAAAAACGACTTGTTGTTTCTTGTTGTTGTTGTTTTTTTTCTTCGTGTCATGTCCCCGTGCTGTTGATTGTCGTTTTGACTGAGTTTTTGTTATTCAGCAAACGACATTCGACTTCTTGTTCGGCTTCGCTGTTGTTAGCATTATAGTTGTCGTTTTATACCCGTTCACACTATTGATTTTGCTTTCATTTACCATTTTGTCGCTATGTGCGCCAATTTGTGTTGGGCTGCATTGCTGTTTTTTTTTCGGCGCTGTCTTTCTATTTCGCGCGCCATACTTCCTTTTTATCAATTTGTAGCATTGAACATGTTTTTCACTGTTCATTTTTTTTGTGCCGTTGTTGTCGTTATTTTTGCGTTATGTGTAAGTCTTGTCAACTAAATTTTCGATTTTTGTGTGAAAACAGTTGCTCCGGAAACCGTTAAAATACGTGTCGAACCAACTGAACTGGTACCAGGTGTGGAAGCAACACTCATTTGTGATTCAAGCTCGAGCAATCCGCCGGCCAAATTGAGTTGGTGGAAGGAAGGTATACCCGTTGAAGGCATAAACAATGCATCGAAACCAGGATTGTGGGGTGGCACCGTTTCGTCGCTCGAATTGAAAGTCAATGTGACACAGGAAATGAATGGTATTGTGTACACGTGTCAAAGTAATAATGAGGCATTACAACGTAGCGTTCATGAAGCACAGTCACTTCAAGTTCTATGTAAGTTAATTTTCTACCATTTTCCCGTTCTCATTCATTTCTGGTTGCTTGAAAACCGACCACAATCTTCCGTGCAAATGTTCTCGCCCAAATGCAATGAATTTCATTGTCTGAAGGAGAAAAAAAAAGAAGAAAAAAAAAGAAATAATATTCCCTTTGCAAATTTGCAGTTCCACCAAAATTCGTGCCACCACCATCGTACACGGTTGTCGGAATCGAGGGAGAAGCACTGCAAGTCGCTATGCAAGCAAATGCAAACCCAACGTCAATCAGCTACACTTGGATGAAAGATGGCTCACCCATTTTGAACAATGGCAACAGCATCGAACGCATCGTATCAGATGGTGCTGTTTTGAATATCACCAAATTAACTCGTAACGATGCCGGCATTTACACCTGCAAAGCAGTCAACTCACAAGGATCGGCCACAATGAACATCACCGTTATCGTTGAATGTAAGTTCGATCATTATTTATTATTATTTTTTGAATATTTTTTTCTTCTTCGAAACTTCATCGAAATTGACATATGCATCGGTAAGAATAATCTTGACCTGCCAAATGGAGTGAAAATAAATGTGAAATATAGAATTTTTTTTTTTATATGGAGTTGTTGTTGTCCAAGTCCATATAAAAAAAACTCTATGTTTCACATTTATTTTCACTCAATTTGACAGGTCAAGATTATTCTTACCGATTCATATTTTAATCTTTCATCGATATTAATTTCCATTTGTTTGGCTTTCTCTCTCTCTCTCTCTCTGCAGACGGAACAACAATTAAGGCAGTTTCAGAGAATATTGTTGCAAATCCAGGTGATGATGCAACACTATCATGTACCATCGAAGGCAAACCACTGAGCGAAGAGCATGTGCGCTGGGAACGATTGGGCTATGAAGAGAAAATGAACGAGAAAACTACGAAAACCTTTGTCAATGGCACTTCATATTTGCAGATAAAAAATGTACGACGTGAGGATGTCGGCAATTTCCGTTGTGTCGCCGATAATCGTGTGGCGAATCCAACAAGTCGAGACGTTTTACTCATTGTCAAATGTAAGCATTCATTAAAATCATATCGACTCAGTCTCTGTGTGTGCAATTGAAATTCTGCCGATTGGCTGTTTTACACCGTCGATCCGCCGGATTTCGAGACTATATACAATATTCCAGTTACATATTTAATTGCAATTTCACAAATGGAAATTCCATTTCCCCCTCTCTCTCTCTCTCTCTCTCTCTCTCTCTCTCTCTCTCTCTCTCTC